GTAAACTTGCAAGTCTCTTCAGTAAAATGAAATTCCAACTGAAATTTAGGATATCCTTCATTTGTAGACATTTGTGGTATTTGTGTTTGTCACCAATAGAAATCATAAATATTTTCATAATGTATTTAGGTTCATGGAGATACCTTGAAGTATCAATTGATATCATTATTTCAAAATTACATAGATAATAGACCTGCAGCTAGGCCTTGTTATTTTAATGCATTAATAAGGAAGTATATATATTACTGTATTACATCACTAGGATTACTTTAAAATGTTGATAATTATATTTTAATTGTAAGTGAAATCCTTTGTAAGTCTATGTATTTCATTTCATTTATTTATGAATTTTATTTTGAGAAAGGTCTTAGTTTTCACCCATGACTCAAAAATGTTCGGAACCTTGGACTATATGGATGGTTGGTCTTTTACACAGATCACTCTTGAGCCATGAAGATGATCTAAGATGATCTTTAATGAGTTGAAGAATCCAAATCATTTCTTGTTTTCTGACAGGATGATATCAATATGATATGATTTTCTATTTTATGAAAGCCTAAGGGTTGCTTCCAAGTACTGTTATCCAAGTTAGTTGTAAAGTCTTCTACAACTAAAGATTTACTAACTAAAAGTAATATGATTTGAATTTAGGGAGGACTCTAATTCCTAGGCAATCTGGCTGTCATGCAATTGCTTGGCAATGTTGTATCTGTGCCCCTGAAAACATCTGGAATTTTACAGTCTCAAGGAACATACTTTTTTTCAGTGCTTTCTTCATTTTGAGTTGGTTGTAGTTTTAAATTGCTACTTTTCTAATTTCATGTATGGAATTACTCTTGGATGTAGTCTGTGTATCATTTGGGGATTTTTTTGTAATTGCTGCATTGTAATTATTTGATATTTTGCTCCTCTTCCATGCTTTTGTTACTGGTGAGTTCTTCATCTGCTAGAAATAAGAGTTTTTGGTGTTTGTGAACCTCAATGTCTTTTGCCTATTGTAAAGATTCTCAAAATTTTTGAGAACGAGAGAATTAGTTAATTACTTATATTCCTTTCCTTTAACTCAGTCTATTCTTTTCACTCTGTTCTGTTCTATTCTAGTCTGTTTTGTTCTGTTCTAATCTAGTCACAAATAGCAGGATATCAGATCAGAAGTTCAAGCTAAGACTCTAAGATGATAAATGTCAGAAACAGATTGACTCATGAAGCAGAAATTTCAAAGATTCAAAAGCTGTTATTGGATGTTTATAACCTTCACCCAATTCAAACAATTGAAAGGGTCAGGTTGTTGATAATCAAAATAGGATTTGTGAGGAGGATTTCTTTAATGAGTTCTCTGCTATTGAGAAAGGTGTAGAAATGCCTCCCTTTTCACCTCAAATCAAGAGAAAAGAGCTCCACCCTTGGAGCTTGAAGTTAAGGGGATATTGGGATTAGAATCTAGCTTTTATAGGAGAGATCTAAAGGGTTAGATGGTGACAGATGAGCCAAAGGAGAGGAAGCTGTGTAGGTTTCAGTCTTTCCTCAAGTAACTTTTGGGAATAAAGGCCCAACAAATATTTCGTGAGAACCAAATGTGGTCTACTTACATTTGTAGCAGCAGACAGAAGCTGGAGATATACCAACAAGTTTCCAGGGGCTGTGGACATTGTAAAGGAACCAGAGTTTTAAGTGTCCATACCAAGGTGGTAAGGAGTCTCCACCCATGGTCCTTGACAAGCAGTCCCATGAATGTGGTCACAGGAGAAGGAGTCACCTCTAAACACCTGCCAGGTCTAGTGAGTGCAAAGACATCCTACAGTGGTACCAGTCAAGTAGGAACTTTGCTGCTCCTCTTAGCCTTCTCGCCCTTGCTCAGTTCAGGAGTTCAAGGTAGCCAGCTTGCTTGGAAGACAAGCAAGAAGTGAAAGAAACATCAGGCATGCCCCCATCACCAACCACTTTTGGGCTCTGCAACAAACCCAAGTTTGAGAAGAAGTTTTATCTTTGTTTTAAGATTGACATGTATTATATGCAACCAGACCTATGACACTGGCAATTTAATGTTATCACATGATGTTTTCATTATCTAAGAATTATTGGAAAAGTACTAATACTACCTGAAAGATTGAACCTGGGACAGAACATACGTTTCTCCTGTTGAATATATTTTAAAGAGAAAGTAAGGGACAAAATACTTTTGCTTTATGATAATACCCCATAAGTTCTATATGTTCATTAATTTTATAAACTCAGTAAAAATCTGTTGCCTGAGACCATACAGTCTTACAATATATGTTAAGAGATTATCTCAAAGTTAATTGGTGCAAAGTTTAATTGTTTATAAGTATATTTTCAATCAAATTTTGGACAGAAAGGACATTCTATCATATATGACTGTTTTCTGAAATATCAAGATATTCTGAGTAATTGACTCAAATTATTTCTACTAATTTTTAAACTTTCTTTCTTATATAATAAGACTTTTATCTGTACATTTTCTTTATGTTTCTATTTTTGATAGATTCTCTGCACCCTCTCTAGAAATGTTGGAACATTTTCCACACTAATTTTTTTTAAGGTTTATATAGAAGCTGAGTAATTCTAAGATTATAAATTCCATTAGTTTGTTTTGGCAGATGATGTCTTATCTTAAACACTACATTCTCTTATACACATCTGTTTTAAATTCATAGCAACTAAGCAATGTGTGGTAAAAGACACTGAACATTAGAGGGTTTGTTTAAAAGAATTTGTTTCAATTAAAAGTACTCAGGAAAAACATGCATAATTTTATGTTTTATTTAATAGATGTTTAAACATGTCTCATCTGTTTCATTTCTGTATTCCCTGATTAAATTGCAACTTTACAAAGTTGTATGACCACCAGGAGATGACTTGTTAAACTCTATAAATCCACAGGCTGGAAAGAAGATGTTTGGTATCTTTGGAGAAACATGCCGCAAAATCCATTGTAAAATCCAGTCTTCAACATTTTACTAGTTTCTTCAGTTTCCTGACCTTATTAGGATTTTTCTCAGGCCTATTTTGTTTTTGTTTATTTGTTTGCTTGTTTTTCAGGTGAACCTGATCTTCATAAAAACTCAGAAGATCTAGTAAATGCTGAAGAAAAACATGCTGATACACATTCATAGGTTTGAAATACCTTAAAGGCTTCTGTCATTTTCAACATGAGAGGTAATTTTACTTTTCAGTTGAGAAACTTATTTCTGAAGTGGATGGTTTATAGAAAAAGTTATCTTATGTAAATGTCTTCCTGGATTTTTTCTTGAAAATCTCTTATTTTCTGAGACAAATCCTTAACAGGTAAACTTTAAATATTTACCTTTCTAAGGAGTTCTTGACTCATTCATCAATAAAAATTATATTTACTGAGACCTTTTAGTCCTTTAAAAATAATAAGCAATCTTCTATGGAGAAGTTTAATCCTGGTTTCTTCTACTACTTCCTGAAAAAAATACAAATGTTTTACACTGATTTCTTTTTATACTTCATGTAGGAATTATGAACATTTACACTAAGTGATAATAACAAAGCAAGTACATATTATGAAACAAACATCAATGTTTGCTAAAATCCCTGGACATTTGCATCTATGGTTCCCTTTTTAAAAATTCTAGGGCTCACCTTTGATCTATCAAATTATTCACTCTGGGAGTGATGCCTTAGAAATTTGAATTTTTAGCAATTCATTGTTTTTCTAGTTCTGTACGCTAAATTTGAGAACCACTGTCTTGGGCCAACAGATAAGCTGCAGGCAGTTAGAAGGGAGGACTGTGTTTTTCTAGTGGAGATGTCTTACTGTCTCCTTTAAAAAGTATTATAATGAGTCTTGTTGTTGGCATGATGGTAGAGGCAATAAAAAATGCCGTGGGTACCATACTGAGACTTTGAGATGTTACCAGTATCTCCTCGAATGTTGCTTTAGATATGACTGAGTTAAAACATGATTAGCTTTTAAGATGATCCATTTCTCAATATTCCTTGAGTTGGCTGTAAGACTCTTTAGTTGATAATAATAGTTTTATTAATAGTAACTCAGTGTCAGGCACTGTGATGAACATCTTATATCTATTATTTCATTTAGTCCTATCAACAATTCCAGAGTTAGTGATTGTGATTATTTTGCATATGAATTGTGGCTAGAAATCAAGCCACAAAGTGGGTAGAAATTTTTAAAATACAGCTCTATATTAAACATTTTAAAGATATTGTCTCCTATTAGCACCAGAAATTTCTCTCCATACCCTCCATCCAAACTATAAAGCCACATACACACACACAAGAGATAGGAAGAGGAATTCCAAATGATATAAAATGAACATCTGTTACCTACTGATAACTCCCTTATTTTCGACAAGGGCTATAAAGTCCAGCATGAAATTGCCACACAGTTTTTGATGCCTGTATATGACCAAAACATGATCTTCATTTTCATCTGGATTTTATTTCAGGATAATGAGAACAGCACTAAAATATCTTAAATCCTCAATTTTCCACAAATCTATATTCTTCTCTTTCAACACACACTTGGAACAGGCTATTTTTATGGGCTTATTTTAGGAATTAATAAGAAGAACATAAATTCTGAGCTAGTAATTCTAGCCAAATAGACACACTCAAAGTTGCTATCAGAGATTTTGGCCAGTGCTTCTGCCATTGTTCTTCCTCCACAATTTGGCCTTCTTCAATCAAACCAGATACATTTTTAAGACAAAAGTTGGACAGTTTTAAATTTTCATCACTTTGAAACCAGTTATAGCATAGGTGGCTATGTAATACATGTGCAGAAGAGGAGGCATTTTTAAACTTCACTTTCTTGCACTATTTTATACACAGTGCTGTAGCTACAAATTCCTCAAGATGTTAAGTAAAAAGAAAGCAAAAACAAAATTATGGAAAAATATTTTTTGCAGCTCTGAGGCTATTTAAATTGTCCTTATTTTTAAATACATGGGAACAAAATGAGAGGTGGGAATGCCCAGAAGCTGTGATTGAAGTCCTGTGACAACCATAGAGCATCAGAGCCCTGGCTCTGTGAGCTGATCAACTCTTCATTGTAACTCTTAAGCTGGGAAGCCGCCATGAAACCTGTCCCTGAAAGCAGTGGACCAGCCTGCATCCATCCTCATGGTTTCGGAGCACTAATGAATCACCTACATGGGCGTGGTCACAAGACAAGTCACACATTACCTGCGATCCAAGATAACAAGATCTTTCAGCCATTGTTGGAGACAGACACTAGAACTGAGAACGGAATTTGCCTTCTGGGGCGTTGATCCCATCAGGATGTAACAAAATGTATTACAAGCCAAGGAATAAGTGAAAAGTGTGTGTGCTTATGTGTGTGTGTGTATGGGTGTGTATATTCAAAAATGTCTATGAAAGTGGAAGCCCACACTTTTCTGTACAGATAACATTGTTTGATGTGACCTTATAATTTTACTACACAGAAACAAACTGCAACCCATGGAGACTCTGCTTCCTTGTCATGTTTTGCCTGAGCATGTGCAGAGTCTTTCCTTTGCTGTAAACTGAAGAACTACCTTTATATGTTATTAGCTGACAAGAAAGGTCAAGCACAACTAGGTGTTGTAACCTTACTGTATAAACACTTCAGTGATTGTTAGACTAAGTGAACTTGTCTTTGTGAAAGGTAGAAATTTGGTTGGAAAAAATCAAGAGTAGAGAGTAGTCATTGATTAAAGAATAAAGTGAAGGTGGCTATGTCCATCCCAATGCCTTTCTGTTGCACCTGCTTCTTCCCTGGGTTCCACAATGCTAAGCAATATATTGGAAATGGATGCAATCAGAAGCTTTTAAGTCTAAGCAGTGGGATTTTATAACTCACAACTTAGATCTCTTTTAATGTGTAAGCCATATTCTATATGCATATTAGGTATGCATCATTCTAATTTAAGATATTTTTGTGCATAGACTCTGTATAAGATGCTTCTAAATGTTCTATGAATAAGGTCCTTAGCTTTTGTTTCACCTTAATCATATGTAGGACACAGCTAAATAATTATATCATAGACATTATAATGCAATTGATATTTTAAACGTAAGCAGTAAAGATTGATCTATAATGATGTCTTGGGGGAGAATGTATAGATATGTACATCATGGTGACTTTTTCTCCTTTGACAATGGACTTCTTATTTCTATTTATGGAGAAACTGCAACTACTGCTTTTAATGTCTTTTTTAAGTAGCTATTTACAAGCTAGAACATATTCTGCATTTAAAATAGAATCTATCTGGGAAGTCCTAGTACTATTGTTCCTATTTGAGCCAGTTGTCTTTCGATAAAGCTATAGAATCACTCAACAAAGAAATAAATCGAAACACTGCTTCTTTAATTGTCATAGGCAACATGTCCACTTTGTTCCTATTAATACTTTAAGATATATAGACTTTATTATTAAAAATAGAGGAATATAATGAATTCATTATTTTCTGTATATGGGCTTTAACCTAATTTTCCAGGTTATGTAACTTACAGAGCGCTGAACGTCCAAGGGAGTGGAGAAAACACACTCCATTTCCTCAGAAGAGTTGTCACGCTGTTGATGCACTTTTTCTTTTCCCAATCTGCCTCCCTCGCTCCCTTGTTCCCTCCTTTCCCTCCCTTCTCTCCTTTGTATCTTCTTTATTCCTCTCTCTCTCTCTAAGAGAGCCAATACTTTGTGTTCATTTAGTGAGAGTTCAGAGTGGAGGTACCAGTGCCCATCCCTTCTGCAAACATCAATGTTGAATCCATCCTGAAGGGAGGGATGGATGAGTTAGGCTGCTGCACCTTAAATGTCCTGCTTTGCATTTTTATCCTCAGCTACCAAACATATATCGAATAATTTCATATGCCTTTTTATTTAACCAGTATCTCTTTTATTTAATTTGTCACATGTCAAGCTACAACTCTTGTGTTTTTATTCTGCTGTATTTATCTGTACTTCCTATTATATATGATTGTTAAATAAATTATACTTGAGGGAAAATATTGTGAAATATTTGGTGCCTGATATAATTCAACTTGGTGGGGCATTGAAAGGTTGGTGAAATCAGGGAAAAATTAGAAGTACACCATCTAAAACATTGATAAGCGTTCTACAAGGAAGTGATTTTTGCTCTATGAAAGAATTGTTGTTCATTGAACATTTATTACTGTCCCATTATTTGCAAGCTCCTGGCTAGATGCATGGTGCCTACAGGATTCTGGAAACCTGAATCTTTCCTCTAAAAATTTCCTATTTTATAGAGGAGATAATCTATACACATAAATAACTAAAAGGCCATGTGTAAAAGTAACCAGCTGCACATAACCTGCATCTCTGGCTATTAAGGGAGGTAAAAACTGCCTCTAAATTCAGGGCTTCCAAGAAGACTTCATAGAATGGATGGCATTGGAGTTGACATTTCAGTAACAAATAATAATAAGCAAAAGTTCATATTCATTGCCCATTTTCTATGTACAGCCTCCATGTAAACACTTAACAAATATTATCTCTAATCCTCAATTATCCAGCAAAGTGACTATCGATATGAGTAAGGAAACCAAGTCTCAGAGAAAGAGCCTTGTCTACCATGTGAGTCTCAAGCAGCATACTCCAGACTGGAATTGGTTCTAGGTCTCTCTGGCACTGAAGATCTTTTTTCTTTCTACTGCATCTGTGGAGGATGAGGCAGAAGCTCAGTGGAAAGAACAGCTCTGTGAAGGACAGTGTGAATAAGGTAACGCTGGAGAATAATAAAGCAAAGGGTGTCAAGTCAAAGTGAAGACCTAGAGAGTTTTAATTAACTGAATTAAGAGTAATTGGCACAATATGTGCCACCCCTCAGGCTGTGTCTCCATGATAGTAAAGCATTCGTGATGAAAATGTAAACATTTATCTAGTCATCAGATACACAACACTGCACTGAACTTTTTACATTGAATGTGATTCCATGACAAATGTTCACCTACTATCAAAAAGCTTTCAAAGGCCATATTTTCATTTTGAAATATAATTTAGATATAAACACTTATTTCCTTTGGAAGCTACATTAAGCCTTGCATCCTCTGTTTAAATGATTTTTTTTAAATATCATAAAACTTACCCATCATTTAGTACAAGCCTTAAACAGTAATGAAAATACACATTTTGGAGTCAAAAAGTGAACACCTAATAATGTCCCACATTACATACCTGTCATTTCTTTGGGGAGAATTCCAAATATTTAAGATACAAATCCTATATATGAACCAGCATGTATATTTAAAGCTCTTTTGGGGGCTATTTGTCCTTTAGTAACACTAAGTTTCTAGGTTATTTCCTTAACAGTTGGCAGTTGGGGAGCTTCCTTTGCATCTCAAGCTGATACATTTTTATCTCTGATAATTAAAGAGTCAAGTATTTAGTTCTTATTATAGTCTTTACCGCATTATATAATTTTCTGACAGTCTCTCTTTTACTCCCTGTAACTTCTCCTTGCGAATTTGTTATCCCCATCTTTGGATGAGGAGCCATAGCAGAGGAGGGTGAAGAATTTGTGTATGATCACTCAGCTATTGAGGACCCTGGAATCGAAGTCTGTGTATGACCCTCCAAACCATTAGGCAGACTGTCTCCGGACTCTGTGGGAGGGTTGGTCAGGTTGTCTCCACCCACTATATCCATTACCTTCCATTTCTATCCTTTATTCCATCCTACTCTTTATTCCCCATCCAGGCACTTGTCCCTAAAAACCACCACTCTGAGAGGGCAGAATTTCCAGTGACCAGCAGCAGGGGTAAGTGTGCTTTGGTGACCAATTAAATCATGTATTACATTACAGCAGAAAAGGTGCCTTTGATTTCCGTGGATGGAGGAATTATTTCCCATGCTTAATGTGTGACCTTAAATTTTTGCTTTTCAAATAACTACTGGTGTTCAGTCCAGATCTTTGCTACTGAAAGTGTGGTCCCTGCTTGGGAACTTCTTATAAATGAAGACTCTGAGGCCCCATCCAGACCTTTTAAACTAGAAGTGGCATTTTAAGAAGATAACTGGGTGATTTCTATACATATCACTGGTCTAGACAATAATTAAATATTGTGGAGATAATTCTGTGCAACCACTAAGCACTTAAACACGAGGCTGTTTTTCCCCACACCAGACAAGAGCCTCTGCAGTTCACGATCTCAACACTGTTCTACTCTCTCAAAACTAAACCAAACTAAACCCAAGAGGCTGTTGAACTGGACACAGTCTATGACACAGTGCTTGGATCAATTAAAAGTTAAGTCTTATTGTTCCTATAAGTATTAAAGTCACATTTCTTCTTTCTATTCAAAGAGCATTGATTGCATGTTTTAGATTTTTCCATCTCATGTGTGTTCCACATTTGGCCTCTGCCTCCAGCTCTTTTCACTTTTTCTTTTTTGCACACTGTGATTAAATCTCCTTCGTTCTTTCTTTGGACCTATCACCCTTGTTCTCAAAGACAGTTTCTCCTTGTCTACATCAGGGGTCAGTAAACTTTCTCTGTAGAGAATCAGGAAGCAGCTATTTTAGGCTTTGCAGGCCACGGTTCCATCATACTGTCCCTCCTCCTCGCTCTTCTCCTCCTCCTTCCTCTTCATTTTCTTCTTTCTTCTCTTCCTTTTCTTTCTTTACAACCCTTTAAAAATGTAAGAGCCATTCTGAGCTTGGGGTATGGGAGCGGCACACCAAAACAGGCCACAGGGCAGGTTTGCCCTGCAGGTCCACACCTACTGTGTATAGCATAAAAAAGTGAGGCTGCTTGTGCCAGTGACAGTCATCCCTGGGAGCTCCACCTTCCCCAGGGCCTGCCCAGCCACCCTGAGGACCGGGGACATGGTATACCTGTCACCTGTTCACAGCACACGTACAGTTTAGCAGGGCTGGCTACAGCTCCAGTTCTCAGCCTGAAGCCTGCATGCATCAGCATCACCTGGAGGGTCTGTTAAACTGCAGATTGCTAAGCCCCACCCCCCAGAGATTCTGATTGGATAAGTCTGGGGTAGAGTTTGAGGAGATGCTGATGCTATTGGACTGGAGATCTCATTTTGAGAACCGCTGACCTACGACTCAAGCTTAAACCCGGTAGCTTAATATTCAAAGCCCTTCACAGTCCAACCCCAGTTTATCTTTCTAGCCATTGCCTTCACTGTGCCATTGCTATTCTTGGATTTCTGCTGTCCCTCTGCACACGATGCCTCCTCTGCGTGGATTTTGTTGCTTCCTTTGCCCTCTTTACCTGTCACTGTCCCTCCTTCCTCCAAGGCTCTGCATGTGTGCCAGCTCTCCCAGAAAGCCTTGTCCCATTACTCTGGTCAGAACTTTCAGACCCCCTTTTCTGGATGAACACATCTCATATCCCTCTCTGAGGGAAATTTGGGGCTCTCCACATCATATATTTGCAGCCAGATTTTAAGGTAGAGAAGCTCTGAGACTTAAACATTGCAGGTGTGAATAAATGAATGAAGGCAGGAAGGAAAAGTTTGTTCTTTGTCCTTGTTTGTTTGAATTAATCCTTTCAGATAACATCTCTAATTAATTCAATCAAAATGAGACTCACTTTTTGGGCACCTTAGATCTCCATGACTCCAAAAATCATCTGTGTTTTTTCTCAAAGCAGACAAATGGGGAGTGCATTAATTCTTAATTAATTCCTAATAGCATACTAAAAGCGAATCTGAATTATATGAGAAAAACATTGTCTCCCCATCTGTCTCTTATCTACCCTTGGGGAGATGGGTCTGCTGGTGCAGAGATATATTAATAGTAGCTAATCTTACCAACTGGGCTAAGGAGAAAAGCTCACACTTCCTAGGTGGTTTTCCATGGCCTTGATGATTCATACTGGGGATGGTATAAGCTAGCAACAATGACCTCAATGCATAATAATACGTCTTTGGTAGTTGGTAGCTGTTAACATTTTGTATCTTCTCACCACAAAGTCTTTGATAGAATAGTAAAATAATAACGAACAATATTTGAAGGATTTAGATAGTACTTAACACATTGTTGTTTCTCAATTAGCATAAGTTAACATTATTATTTTATTTTTGTCCATATATTATTTCTTGTTGAATTCTATGTAAAAGACCTGAGGCAAGAAATATCTTACCCAAGAACTGAATTTGGCCCTTAGTTCAACTTCAGACTTTGTCAGGTACAGTTTCTGTGATCTTAGACAAGCCTCAGTTTTCTCATCTATGAAATGGAGATAATAAGACTATTTTATAGGATTGTTGGAATGATTAAATGAAATGGCCCATGTAAGATACTGAGAATACTGACTGACACATAGAAAAAACTGAAGTAGTATGAACTATAAAAATAAGAATCTACTAGGAGCTCCACTTTAAAAAAAAAAACTAATTCATGCTTGTAATTGCATGATTTTGACTTCAGTAGCAATATCCTCAAAGTCCACATGATGGGGAGGTTGTTCCATGTGAAAAATAGGCTGGCCATTCTATAGTAAAGATATCAGTATTTATATCCTTGCTTTAAAAGGCAAAATTACATATAGATATATTGAAATACAGATTGAGATATATTTGTGTATATATAGAGAGAGAGACAGCTAGATTGATATGTGTTGATATATATCATGGTGACATTCTATTTTTATGGAAATATTTTAATGCAAATATTAAAAAATATATAAGCATAAAGATAAAATAACAATAACCTTTAGACTCCTTGGGTGGCTTCATAAATAAAACATATTATTAGACATCCAGGTGCACTTAGAAGCAACAACAGCAGTCTTTTAAAAAGAAAAAAAAAATACAGGCACACGCCCCAGCAAACTCCACGGATTTCACAGAGTCTTCATTAGCAAAATAGAAAAGGCTTTCTTTGGAGGAAACAGAAAAAGGAGAGGAACTTTGCTAATGTGGAACTTGTCTGTGTGAGAACAGATGCATCCACTAAATGTGGTGAGTCAGAGGCAATCTGGAAGCCAAGTGGGTCAACACTGAAACCATAATCTTCAAACCCAACCA